GTAACCAACGAATAATTTAATGAATTTATTTAATGTGATTATTGCGGTAACATAATGAACAATGTTTTGCCCGTGAAGTTGACCCTTCAACTATGTTCAACTATTTCATTGAGTATTGACGCCACTGTACGTCAATATGATATAGATATTAGGTGGCAGGTGAGCAATAAAAGTTATGTTGTTATGTACAACTATAATATAATGTAATATAAATAAATAATACAACAATAACATATATGTTACACTAAATGAATATTTTCAAATAACTTCAAACTTTGAATTTGGAAAAAATTATCAGTTATAAATTAAAATTGTGTCTTTGATTTATAACTTATATTTATAACTTATCACTTATAACTTGTATTTCTATTTATTAAACCGAAAAGTATGTCTAAACCATGTACCTCATAGAAAGAGTCAAAGAGACCTACTTAAGTTATAATTATAATATTATTCTACGACCGGTGAAAAAATAAACGACGACGGCGAGCGGCGTTTGTATTATTTTATCTTGTGTTTTATGCATTTTGAACTCAGAAATAAAATACGCATCTACTATACACATCTTAGGTAGCATAAGTTTTCGTGATATCAAATATTTAAAAAAAGTAAATATAAGCCCCAAAAGGAAATAAAAACAAACTTAATTACCTACTTCGAACATTGACGCTTTCAGGCTTCTGTGGAACCCGTGCGATATTGTGTGTGCGCTGAGGAATAAATCAGATACCTACAACTAAACTTAAATCTGAAAATATTGTGATTTATTATGAAAAAAAAAACATTACGGAAGACGGAACGCAGTATGTTTATTGTTCATGTTTGCTTTGGTAACTGAAATTTTAGAATCATTAATCGTCTACGTCTTCTGCAACTAATCTGGAAATCACCATGGATATGTCGACCGTCAATATGATAAAACCGAAGATATAATATGTCATAATACAAATGTTTATATCAAAGGGGTCCGTCTTTTTGAGTTGTTCATTGAGTTAATGAAATGTGATATAACATTAATCAAAACATAGTTTAAAATTTAAAATTTTTATCATAACAATATATAAAGTCCCTTCACAGCTTCACATTCATCGAATCAAATAAGCTCTAAATTATATTGCTCACATCATATCCTCTCCCGAAAACTCAACATTACCATTCTTAATTCAAAATCGTTTTGCAAGTATATTTTGTTCCAATTCCAACCTAAAAAAAAACCACTGGGTTTGAGAATATTGAATGAAATGTCGTTTACCAATATTGATCCAAATTTAATTATCAAATGTGAATGCAGTGTGGTGCCTCCTTCGAGGGTTTCAACCTTTCTTGTGGACACCTGCAGATTATAGTCAAAAAGAAACGGTAAATATTGTATAGAAAAATGTTTTCAATGAAATCATGGACTCTTATCCGTCTAGTCCACAAATCTATACAGACGCCTCCAAAACAAACTCAGGTGATAGCTATCATAAACGGCGATCAATCCATATCGTACAAACTAGCAGACCATAACAGCATTTATAAGGCGGAATACATTGCACTCCTGGAGGGAGTCCTGCGTCTAGCCATTCAACTACCCCATTCGACCATTAACATTTGTACAGATTCGCTCAGCGCTCTTCACAATCTGAAATATAATTTGCACTCAAGCATTCTAGCTATTAAAATAAGCAACATCATTGAAAAAGTCAACAAGAACATACGGTTTATATGGACACCATGTCATTGTGAAATATATGGCAATGAGAAAGCTGACAAAGTAGCTTGTGAAGCAGTTAATAACCCTCTGACCGAAATACGCACATACTCCTCACTCATAGACATCAATAGGAATGTCAGCACCTTTTGTACCGATTTATAGGAATTCGAATGGCGGCGTAGGTACATCCAATAACAAATTAAGAGAAATAAAAAATACTACAACGTTTTCAACCGTCGAAAAAGCAAGAGAGAGCCGGCGGGCGACGACACGACTTAAAGACCAGATAGAAGCGTTGGTCTGGGAGGGCCGGAGGGGAGATATCATCGGTTCGCCTTTAGGTAAAAGTACCTAGTGGCGGCAAACAGGGTCCAAGTTCGAACATTACTATAAGGTACTTATTTATAGTATAGCTATAATACTAATAGAAAATTAAATGACTTATTGTAACACATACTATGAAATAGAGGTAGAAATGGAGAATACTTTATTATTGAATGGCACCCATCTACTCATTGACAAGGTAAACTGAAAAGCCTGATTTACAGCGGAGCAACTTCCCAGCTTTATAAAATAATTTAATGTTTGGCAAATTACGCTATTTGTGGTTGGTTGGTCATAATAATATCCATATATTTTATTATTCATTCGTTATTCAATTCATCCAAGTCACCCCACCCCTTAGAATTTTTCGCCGAACTTTGAGCTTTTTGTGATTGTGGGGTAGAGTTTAAATATTATAACATTATTAAACATTTATGTATACTAATATACTAAAAATAACAATTATTGAATTTTCCCGGAAATATTAACTTCCGAGTACTGATCTGCTGTAGTATGACTAGTATGCACAGCACTATTTATATATACCTATTTAATTGTATAAATATGTTATTATTCTGCGAAGTAAATATGTCTTCGTCGAGAGCCAGCGTATTTTGTACTTTACGCGCTCGGGAATAAAAATTATGCACTTACGTCAACCGGGTAGCAAATTGTCCATGTCAGTAAATTCTAAGTTTAAAACTCAAAAGTTAAATATGTAAGCCTAAAAGAATATAGGTCATCAACTATAGTATACATCGATAACTCATAGTATACATCGACTCTTCGGGTAATATACTAATATATAGCTGGAGGGTCATATCTAGAGTGCAGGCACCGGTATCGAGGAACCAGTGGCGTACACAGCTATTTTCAAGGGGGGGGGGCTTACATATAAAAAATTGTATACATATATATATTATACATTGATAAATCAAAATAATATGTTGTTTAACTAATATTTATTTTCATTATAAAACAATGTCTATTTTCCTGGGTTTTTGTCCCAACTCATCAATGACTTCTTCAGGAGTTAAATTTATATCACGGTATACCGAAAACATGGTCAATCCATTTAATCTGTCCTGTGTAAATAATTATTTTTCAGTTTAAAACATAATGTTATAATATAATGGAGTATAATTTGGAATATCCCATATCTAATAATAATTATTATTAAATAATAACTTCGGTGACGACGGTCTTCTCACCGTGCATTTTTAATCGAAACTCGATTGTGACGGTAACACTGAAATTCCCTTAATTTAATTTTGTATTTATTTTTATTAGTACTATTAATTTTTTTTTTAAATTGTCATCATTTTTATTATACATTTTTACTTAATTACGTAAACTGAAAAAATACTAAAGGGGGGGGGAGGTGTTGAACACCCCCCCGTGTGTACGCCACTGCGAGGAACTGCTTTTTTCATCAAACTCCGAACTGAAAAGATCGAGATATTTTATTAAAATTACTTGAGGAGAATGAAATATGAGAGAACATTTTAAGTTCAAATTTGGACAAAATTAAATATTAACCAAAAGAATAACGATGTTAGTCATTTAATTGTAATTTGGTGCCAAAACAGCCAAATTTCACATAAGTTTATTGTTTATTTAATATTTTTCCAGCATCATTGATAATTTAAGAAAAGTAAGTAATAACAATATAAAATATCCTAGACTGACATACCGTCTCCGCTCATAAGTCATAATCGTTTTTCGTATGCAATGATAATATCATATTGAAATATTGAATGCAAATTTAATACCATCCATTACAGCGACCTTCTTGACACCTGCTGTACAGCAGAGCGACATCCACTTACCCATTTTATTTTTGTTTTATTTCGTAACATCACAATAATAAAAACATAAAAAAAGATATTTGATAATCATATTATGTTCCAAACAATTCATCACTATTAGAAAATTTAAATGTAATTAATACAAATTATTGACGTTACCTAAACGGCTATACATATAGTTAATGAATTAAAGAATAAGAAATGGAGGCATATTTGTGTTGCTTAATTTCGATGAAATCAAACATAAACTCGTCTTATATTTGCAATGACACATTATTTTAAATTAAAATATTTCCTGCGTCTTCTATCTTAATCGGCAACCGATAAATAGCCTAGAGTGATCCGGCTCTAATACAGGGTGGACCAACCTTTTGTAGTTGGAGGACCAATTTACACATTTATATCAATACAATATAGAGCCGCCAAAAGAAAAGCAATATTATTCTTATTCTTATTCATATTTTATTTTAAGATTAGATTACTTAAATATATTTGGAATTCGGATTTTTAATAATCAATATGATGGTTAACATTGTTTATCAGAATCCAATTTTTCAATATTAATCAAACACCTTATGGTGATTACTAATTAATATGATGCACAATATTATTATTATTGTTAGTCTGCTCTCACCACCTTTTTATTAATTTTTTTATCACATTCATAAACACTTTAAAATTATTAAATATATTTACTACATGTTTGTTGCTCTATAGGATCAAAAAAAAAAAAAAAGGCTGAAGGCTACATTCAGTCTACGGTTTGGACCACCTTGCCTTAACATAATATGCCAGTGTCAAGTTTCTACACCAAAATTACAGATATTATTTTATTATATTGTATTTTCAAGCATAATTTTTCTTTTAAACTTATATTTTATATTATTAGTGTAACATCTAGATGTTTGAACTTGTTTATGTATACTATGTACATTGTCAGGTTACTCATATCCATATTATGTTATTGAGACAATGTTAAAATGTAATTACTTACTAACTTGTATACTATTAATTATTTACAGATGTTGTTCATCAGTTCTCACTAACATTACACTATTTTATAACCATATTTATATGAAATAATTATGGTGAGTAAATCAATTAATATACTGAAAAGACTTTCAATTACACGAGTAAAAATATTTTCTATAATGTTTTAATTTTCAAATACATTTTTTTGTACACCTAATATTGTTTTTTATTCTACATAATGACATAAATAAATAACTATTAATCATAGCCCATTAAAAAAGCTTCAGCATATGCAAGTTCGAAATCAACTGCTTTTCCTCTAATTCTTCTCCCGATAGGTTCTAAATCTGCATAACAACGGTCAAATACTTTCTCGACTGCTTCTTTTGCTTGTTCATAGGTGACATCTCTAACGGCCAACACAGAAATAGTGGCTTTATGTTTTACACAGTCCTAAATAAAATTAACAATAAAATGTATTAAAAATGTAAAATACAAGACCAAGAAAATATAGTTTAAAATGAATCTACAGATATGATAATCTTGTTTATTTAGAATTTTGTAATTGGTATTCTATTAAACTTATAAAATATAATTATTATCTTGTTTTTAATTTTACAATATTTATGGACTCAAGTTAAAGAATAAAATATTATAACTTATAAGGTACAAGTCTGTGTAATTTCTAAACATGTCTATGTTATACCAAACTAAGACTCTCAATAAAAAGGCAATACATAACATAAATTTTTTAAATGGCGAGTAATTTATTTTAATTTTTGAAAGTAAAAAAGTACTAAGAACATATTATATACAAATAATATATGATAAATAAAATTTAAAGAAAACTCAAATACCTAAGTCCTTAGTTAATAATATATATAAACAATTTAACAAAAGCCATAATACCAAATGTTTATGATTATTTGCAATTGCCTATCACATACATCAATTATCAAGATTTACTGTAATGTAATGATTTTTAATTCTCACTTGATGTTTTTTTCTAAAATTAAATATTGATGAATGCCCTTCGAGAATAGACGATACAAGTCCACAATGAGTCAAATTTGCTGCTCTGATTTCTGTACAAGCTAAATGCTCAATATTCCGAAAGTCTAATTTACGTGTACAATTGTCAAACATGTGTATGAGCTCATGTGTGAGCACTCCCTGTACGGTACCCTTTGATGTAGCTGTGTTTTGACATATAACAACCTGATTTAAACAACAAAAAAAATAAGAAATGTAAAAAAATAATAATTATTATTTTATACTTGATTCATAATTGGATCATATCCCCCATGGACGCTCGTATCACATAGTTCACATGCAATATGACGAGATGGGTTGACTTCGCTGAAAATATGAAAATAATTCATTGTGATAATAATACCAACAATAATGCTTACTGTGCTGTAACATTACTATACTCAAGTTAAGAACCATACTCAGCGGCAAACCAATTTTGGTCAGGTATCAGTTTGGCAACACCCATTTTGTCACCCTCACCTAATCAACCAGCTATACAACTTGCCATCTAAGAACATCACGGCCCAGGAGCTGTGGAGTATGGCTATTTAGGCTTGAATAGAATATAACATTTTTACTAACTAGGACAAAGGGTAATTTAGAGGCCATTCACTATCATTAGTCATTACCTACCTTTGTTACAGTTTTACAGATACAATATAATAAGATTAAATTATTTATTTTATAACCACTTTCAAGAAAACCTTAATTGTGAGTAAATTCACTCAGCTACCCATTACATTTTATAGGTTTCCTTTATTGTTGTATAAAATATGGGGTTTTAATGTTTCATAGCTATTTTCCAAATGCATGCAAAAAAAAACCGGGATATCAATTTACCAATCTAAGTTAGCAGATACTTTATAAATACAAGACTGTAAGATAAATAGATTTAAAATAATAATTTAGTAAACTATTTTACCACAACAATAACATTACTAAATTAGTTAAATCAAAAAGTTATCAATAGCATGACTCATTCAATAGTACATTTTAATTTCATAATAATTAATTTAAATTATTTAATAAACAGATAAACTTTATTTAATTAATCTAAAATAGTCAATTATTTTGAGACCATATTGGAAGGTAATAAACAATAATATAAAGAACAACAAATTATTAAACAAGTAGATTATAATGTTTTGGAGTTTTGGATAGTATTATGTTTAGATTTAATTCCTTTATAATAATTTTTAAGTTTTTAACTTAAAATATTGATTTAAAATAAAAAAGGCCAATATTTACTGTGAAGTATATATTTATTAGAGCAAAAAATTTAAATGGAGTTTATTATTAATTATAAAGTCATAAGTGTATTAACTTCATATTTTATGTGCACGTCTGCCCTGTGGCGCTAATTCCCAAGTGCCGGAGGGACACTTAGGTACCCTTACGAAATAATTTGGAGGTGGGTTTATGTGTACTTATATGGTGAATCTTATTGTAACCGGTAATGGTTATATAATTACATTTGAATACATGTAATATTGTATTATTTATTCATTATGACTCATAATGATATTAATGAACTCCAGGTCCAACAGCCCCCCCCCCCTTGGGGTGGCGCTGCCTACCTCCGTCACTTTAAAGAGCATTTAACTACACTATAATCAATTATTATATAAAGATGTCACCACTCACCAACCAGATCTGCGCAATGCACCCATCATGATCTTTACCAAAGGACCTGGTAAATATAAAATATAAATGCAGTTATATTTAATAATGTTTAATACATTTGAATAAATATAAAATATTGTATCATACATACTTTTGTTTAAACAGTAAGCCACTTTTCTTTCGCACTTGACTCTTTCCAAGTTTTCATTTCCACGTCCTTGAAACAAAATATTTTTTAATTTTGGTTTATAGGTACCTCTTCTCTCGGGGAATAAATCAAATCCCCATCCGTCATAGTTATCTGCGGACTGTGGGGTTGTTTGGTCTTTGTTTTCTTTGCCTTCGGCCATGAGTGTTATCTAATGCATAACATTATTTTTTACAAAGAAAAATAAGTAATGACAATAAGTAGAGTATATTTTACAATTGTATGTAGTTTACCTACTTAAATAACACTAAAACGGAATAAAAAGACGTACTGTACGTACAAATCTTTCAATATAACATATAATTATTGTTGACAACCATTACACTAAATTAGTCACTAAAATACTAAATGATTGAATACTAGTATACTACAATATTAAATATAGTAAATTGTTGATTTAAATTTTAACTTTTTAAAACACATGTAATTCGTTGATAATTTTCTTATCACACCGACTGAATCGTATCTGATAAAAGTTATCATTTTAGTTTCATGATAACCATAATATAAGACCGTATTTTAAACCATACACTTATAATATAATATTATATATTTATATCTATGGTTTAAACTTTAAACATAGAAGTAAGAACAAACGCTGGTCTATAATGACACTGTCGAGTGTCGATTGATAGACCTTGAATAAAAGTCAAAACTATGTACGTTTATATTATAGTCGTGGTTTATGTAGCACTGACTGAGATAGTACCACAGAATTTATAGGTGAAATTTCACCATGAACTAAGATATATCTTAGTTCATGAATTTCACCTATTCTATGATAGTACTATCAAAAATTAAAAATCATAATGATAAATTACATTTAGATATGTCAATAAAAAATAAAATCTGCTACTATACTATTTATGGCCTATTAGTTATTACAATTATTTACAACCGACAAATGATTATTATTTGCGCCATGATATTACAATTTCATTTCGGTTTGATGATCAGAAAGTGCAGATCCATCACATTTGTGCCGGTGTGTCCGATTTTCAGTAGATCGTCACCACCGCAATCGAATGACGAATAAAACCCGTAGCTGTCGTTGTTGTCGACATACTGCGAAGGGTCTAGGCCTCGGGACAACGCCACGTCCTCGAGTGCCGGGTAACCGAACGCCCCGCACGCATCGGTAGGGCCATCTATGCCGTCTGTTCCGCCGCTGAAGAACAGCACGTCGAACCGATCGTCACGACGTCTCGCCACCCCCAAGGCCAAAGCCACCCTCAGCGCCAACTCTTGGTTTCTGCCGCCCAGGCCACTACCCTGGACCATGACCGTGGGCTCGCCGCCGCTGAGTATGCACAAGCCACGGCCTTCGGACGACGCTTCGACGACGCTGTTCGTCAAGCCCTCGACGTCCACACCGCTACCACTGACTATTGACGACGACGTTATCTTCAGTTGGTCTTTGCGTTTCTCGTCCATTACGCCCGTGTACAGGCCACACACGTACTCTACGAGATCTGAATAAAACTTCGACACCAGAGCCACGTCACCGCGGAGCGAAGACGTCAAAAGTACGGCCTTGAAGTCTCGGCTGACATACTCGACGCCCGCCAGTAACGCGACGACGTTGTTGCCGATCACGTGATTGTGGACTCTGTCGAACCGCGCCAAGGTGCCGTTGAACGATTCGTTACGCAAGAGCGCATCGACGACGGTCTTGGGCATCTTATCGCGCAGACCGAAACGGTCGACGATCCCAATGGGCAGATAGTCGGGATCCTCATTGGGCACGGTGGGTCCGCTGGCGATGGCGGTCAACGGGTCGCCCACGACGTCAGACAGGATCAGGGAGATCACGGTACACTCCTCCTGGACCAACCCGATTAGTCTGCCCCCCTTGACCCGGGACAGTGCTTTCCTCACGGTATTCAGCTGTTCGATGGATGCACCGCCCGACGACAACAGGTTGGTGGCGAGAATTTTGTCCCGGAGGGGCACGGTTGGCGAACACAACAGTGCGGAACCCCCGCCCGATATCAGTACGATCAGCAAATCGTGCCTCCCCAGACGGGCTAATGTACTTGTGATGCGATCGGTGTTTTCCACCGACTGTTTGTCGGGCATGTTGTTCTTGGCTGCCTCCATGACGCACACTCTGGAGTTCTCCAGCAAGGAGGGCCTTCGAGTCCCGAACGGAACGCTCACTACGGCCTCCTTAAGACGGCCATTAAGTACGTTCTCCACTTCTAGTGCCATGTTCAGCACAGCTTTACCGAAACCGACCACGTAAACGTCGCCAAGCACGCTGTACGCCGAAGAGTCGTCATTGACGTAAAGCTTTTTCGAATCGAATCTCAGTGTGTTTCTGACGATGTTTCTGGGCGACACCGATTTAACGCATTCTTCAAAAACCTTCACAACGTATTTCTTCATTTTCGCCAAACGATCGTTTTCTGCACACATAATTTGCAACCCTGTGAAAAACGCGATCGAAATGTTGACAAAAATAATATTACTCAATAGATAATTTTGTATTATTTTCAGTATAGGAAAAATATACTAAATTCACTCACCGCGACGATGGTAAATTTTCCGTCTCAGAGCCTGATCGCTTTCATCGGGTATTCGTTCTCAACTGCGACAAGACTGAGTACGTGCATGATGACATATTACAATAACCGCAACTCCATCATTGCAATAATAAATAATAATTGAACTAAATATAAATCCGATTATCGCATATTTGTATAGAATTATTATAAACCGGACATAATAATATTTAAGACGGGCCATTAATTCGATAACGACGTATCATCGTTATCAAAAACGTTCATCGGTAGAATTCGTTCGAAATACTACTACATCGCCATTTTATATTCTTCTATTATATGCTTGATTCAAGTTCTGAGAGAGAAAGTTTGATAGACAATAACATGAATGTTTCAATTTGATCTAAGTTAAAACAATTGTATAAAGTACACGGCAGTACAGCACCTTTTTAGATGTTGTATTCGCTGTTAAACGGCGTTCGTGTATTAATTTTTTCCGATTTTCGTTAATTTCTTAGATAAGTACCTTCTTTTTGAACGTGTTCTAATATTTTAAAAATAACAATATTTTACTGTTTTATTCGTCATGGATTAAATTTTTTCAACCACGGGGGGCTAGGCTATAAAAAGTACGAAAATAATGTGGACAAATAGTTTATCTGAAACGAACCTTAGATGTTGTCTGAAGTATTGCAGGCTAAAAAAGGGTTCTGCAAAAATACATGTCCAATACAATTTTTTTTTAGCTGTAATGCAAGTCAGACACAATATGTTCTGATATTTTATACGCTCATGGGACTTAAGACGATTTTTTTTTAAGAAAGAGTGAAAGACCATGCCTCCTTCAATTCAAGTACTGCAACATATCAGAAATTAGATTACTAAAGAAGAGTTAAATGCAAAAACTGAATTGATTTAAATGTTGGGAATGGTCTATGAATTTATAAATAAAATAAAAAAGCAACTATAAAACATCACAATAAATAAGAAATAAAATAGTCAATGATACAATATTATAAATATAATAATTATTATAATTTTACCATTTTCCTTAAACATGATGTTAGAAAAAAATTGGAATTTTTATAAACACTTGACTTGACTTGGTTTACAATATTATTTTATCATTTATTTACCTAGATATATTTACAAAGTACAATGTTAAAAAATTAAACAATTACAACTAACATGTGCATTGGTATTGTATTAATTAATTCTCAAAAAATACAACGCAGCAGAATGTTGCTTGGATAAATTTTAAAATAAAAATTACTACATATTATATTAGGATGGAATAATATAAGGGTTAAAAACATGATGCTTAACAAAAAGATAGGTTAAAAACAATTATTAGCTAGTTGTAAAATTAGAAAAAAACAAATAATAATAATAATAATAATAATTAGAGAATGTAACACTTAATGCAAAGTTAGTGGTTACAACATTTAGAAAGCATATTATATTTAACAAAGTTAAAATTAAATTGATATATATTAATTTTTAAGATTCTTGACATACATAAACACATTGATTAAAATAGCTCAACTTTGAAATATTTAAAAAATTTATATGATTTTTTAGGTAGAGAATTACAAACATTTGAGATATTAAAGATATAACGTACAACCATTTTTAGTTATTTTAATTTTTATACCAATTATATTTTATAGCTAAGCTATAAATTACAATGATTACCTTTTTTTACAACAAAAACTAAAAAACGTATAATTTAATTGTTGAAAGAGGAATAATAATAAAATGAAATTTTTTGGTTTTTTGTTCAAATAATACTAAAATAAACAAAATCCACTGCATATGTCCAAATTAAATTGATAGATTGTTACCAAACAAATTATTCTATACATAAATGAAAATTCTTCAACCTCGAAAATCATTAGTTAAAAGAAGAAGAAATAATAATAAATAATATATTTGAAATTTAAATTTAACAGGTACATAACATGTAAAATTATAATTAATTGTAATCAATAGTTTAGTATGTGATCTATGCTTTGCTGGTATAGTTATATATAAATGTATTTTACTTTTACTAACAAAACATAGTGAGTATATAATAATTCAAGTAATATTAAATGTACATATTAAGATAAATAGATCTAAAAAAAATGTATATGGATGCAACTAAGGTATTTCAGTTTCTATCTAGTTTGCCTATGAGTTCATCACAAAGATTAGTTAGCTCAGCGTTTTCCACGTCTTTCCTATCTAATGACTCTTGTAATGACCTGACTTTCACCTCCAAGCGTTTGTTCATTATTCTCATTTTTGAAGTTTCTGCCTCAAATGATCTCTCCTTATCATTTATTTCTTCAGTGGCTCTAAGTAAATACATTCATAATAATTATACAATTTAGTAATTAAAAATGACAACAATTTCAAAAACTTTTATATTATTACTTATTCATTTGTTCAGTGGCATGTATTTTTAACCTCATGTATTTGTCTTCATACTTTTTGAGAGATTCTTCAAATTCTTTAATACAGTTTTTATATTTTGTTTCATTTTCTTTCATTGCTTCTATTACTTGCTTTGAGGAATTATATTTTCTATGAAAAAAATACATGATTGTATGTTAAATAAAACAAATTGCACTTATTTAAGAAAATGTTTTATGTAATACCAACATTTAACACATCTAAACTAGTATTGTATACTTATTTATTATTATCTAAATAGTTTTCCTCAAAAATAATACTAATTAATAAGTATAATAGATTAGTAATAAACCTCTATACCTTTAAAAAAACTATTAAATAAAAGCCATATTATAATAAAATACAAAACTTATTTAACTGTAAATGTTATCTTACAAAAAACTAATAAGGTCCTATTATAAAAAAAAACCAGACCTCTTAATCATTTAGGGCTAGGATTTTAATAACCTAAGTCGAGCGTCTCTAAACTACGGCGTGCAGCCCACATCTGAGACAGTGAATAAATTTTAACCGGCTCTCTGAAGTGAAAAAGTAAAATAAGTAATGTAAGAACATTTAAAATCTCCCAAATTATTATGTAAACATTCATTTTTAATTTATTAGTTAGAAATTATAAGTGTTTATATAATTATAGGGTACTATTTGGCCTAAGTTATCACAAAAAAGCATTAAATGTATGCCATAGATATAAAAGAAAACTAGAAAAAATATGTCATTGCATCAGAAATCCTATAACTATTATTTGAGTACCTAACACAAACCTCAATAATTAAACACGGATTAGCTTGTGTTAGTATACAATTTTACATAATGTAGTTAGAAAGCAAATAAACCATACTCGTGAACATCATTGAATGCCATTTCTGAATTTTGTAGGTGACGTTCCATTTTTGCTCTTTCTTCTTCAATATACGCAATACGCGCTTCATATTCTTTATGAACATCTTCTTTTTTAGAGACCATATCAGAAATAGTTTTTTCATACTCTCCAATCACAGTACTATACATAAATATATAAATTAATCAAATTATAATGCTAATATACAAACTTTATTAATTAATTATGAAAGACATATTATTATATTAATATATGTATTGAAATTATATGTACCTTAATTGATCTTTGCTTTTAGTTACTGATATCAATGAGTTGGTCAAGTTTTTAATTTTTTCTTTGTCAGCAATACATTCATTCTTTAGGTTTTTGATTTCACATTCCAACTTTTCTATTTTATCCTATGCACAAATAAGTAATAGTTATTATAATAGGTGAAGCTATAGATAGGCGAGTCCTACAGAATATGCCAGATTGGTTCTGCTGGCAGGCCTATACATTTTTTATAATACATAATATACAATTATATTAATAGGTAGTAGTGAGTAATAAAATAATAATCTCAATTTTCACCATAAACTGAAGTTTAAGGTTAACTTAAAAATTATTTTGATTTATAAAAAAAAATATTTATTTTACAAACTTGGTAAAATTTGTCTCTGTCATTAGGTTTGGAATTGGAACTGTTACTGATTTTATCATCTTTGGTAATAGACTGATTCATTTTGCTGTCTGAAATCTAAAAATAAAAAATATATATAAGATCAACTGCTTAATAACTATTTATTTATCATCACTTTGAGAAATAAAAATATTATTTATTTTTAATAAGGTTACATACGTTCAGAGATTTGTTAGAACCACTAGATTGTGGAGAACTAGACAATAATGTTTTATCTGGGACTAGCACATTTTCAATTGCTTCTTTCCTGAGTCATAAAAATATAAATGTCAGATTATACATATTTTGTATTAACATTGAATAAATTGTTTTTATTTAACAGTGGACTAAGTATTAATTAAATAAAAAATCAGACATTATTTTTTGATTTAAAACAATAGTCAATAATAAATATTTTAATTTTGGATTATACACAATAGAAATAACAATTTAAGAAAATAGGCATGATTTGGAGACACTAAAAATTCATAAATTTGCTAAAAATAAAGTGACAAATGTTCTGTTAGTATGCAATAGGATTGACATTTTTACATCTCTTTAAATAATTGAAGATTATAAAATTATAATAAACACAACATGTTTACTCACCGAGCATTAGATGCCTCATTAGATTTTTTAACAATAGGGTCAAACGCTACATATAAAGATTTTCTGGAAATAGTTAACCTTCTAATATCCTCTTCATTTAACGATCTCACAGATTCAAGGGCTTCTAGATTATCAAAATTATACCCAGCAGATGAATTGAAACCTATCAACAAAAAAATAACTTAACTATAATAGGCATTAATAGAATGATATTTTACAATATTTTTCCAATCATTATGGTTTATTTCTATTTTTATACTAATACATACATTATTTTGTGAAAGTAAGTATTAAAATTTAATCTCCTGAAATCGTATTCAAATGATTTAAATAGGTCAACTAAAATAAATTACTTGATATAATCACAAAACCTAGTAACAAAGTCAACCACTTTACTTACTACATCAGTACAAATATTACCTTTAAAAAGTTATCTGTTATTGATATTTCAACATAATAAGTAATAACATAACATACACAATTAGTATCTAAAATTAAATATACAAAATATGTATATGACTACATAAATACAATTTTAATTGTAACAATAGTAAGTACAATTACCTTCAGCTATCACAGGTCCTGCTTCACTAGAATTTTTGATTTCAGTATCAAAAATATTTGACTGGAAAATAAAAATAAAAGTAACAATTAGTTTGATGTATAATATTATGAAGATTTATAAGAGATTAGAAGTTCAACAAAATTTAATTATTTTTACCATTAAAATGTGTGCAATAATTATAAACAGATTAAAATTGGATATTACAGTTTATTATTGCAATAATTTATAGATAGATTTGGCATTTATTGTATTTGTTATTATAAAAGCTAAAAATAACAAATTCAATAAAACTATGTAGAATATATATTAACCATAAGACTTTACTACTAGACAAGCAATGAGTGTATGCAAAGCGTAACAATATAAAGAGCGCATTTTGGTTACTCGATTACTAGTACGAACGGTAGTGCATGGTAGCAAGATAAAAAATATAGGCATACAAAGTACTGTATTATTTCATAAAGATAGCCTACATCACTGTGATATGTTGTTACACCGCTCATAATGCAATTGTTATGTACAGTTTTTATCTGATAATATAAGGTCTATGATTTTAATAATATAATTATATCTCTTTTAACAGATTTAATGATTTCTACCAACTTAAAAGAAAAAATTGTTTGTATTCTAGATGTGGAAATAATTTGTCTATTATTAATTGTTCTTGTTAATACTTCATAGTTAATACTAATTAGGTACTAATCATACCTGGAATTTTGTTTCTGATTCTAAACCATCCATTAGCAAAATATTTAGTTTCTGTGCAGAATTGTTCAAGTCTGGATTTAATTGATGTGATATGTCTTCTGATGATTTGTTTGAGAAAGAATGTGGAGTTAAATTATGAGAAGAATCTTCAAAATCAGAGCTAACTAAATCCAAGTTCACTGATGTTAAATTTTCATGTATTGATTCAATATTACTGCCCGAGTCATTAATGTCTTCGTTGCATATAGTTGATGAAAAGTCTAAACTATCCAACTGTTGGTTTTCAACAGAATCTGTAACAAATGACCTGTAAATAGAACTGTCGTTTGAAGTTACAGGCCTACCGCTATCTGAATCGGCTGAATCTGGACGTTCTTTTAGATCAAAATCTTCTTCAATCACTATACTATCAGGCCTGATCCTTGACACTTGTGGAGTAGCTAAAGCCAGACGTTCTAATTTGTTTGTGAGCTGAGAAACGTTAAAACCACCCAATGACACATCACCTAAATATTCTTCATGGCTACTGAAAATATTGTCTGAACCATCTGTAATATTTTTTTTTGTATGAATACTTATTATTTGTAGAACAATAAAAATTTTTAATTTTAACCATTTTTTATGACTGTCTTGTCTTGAAATGAACTGTTTGATGATTCTGTTCCATTTGGAAGATTAGGCTGCAATAAATGAACACAATTACTATTATACCACATATTTACTTAATAGTTTATAACATAGCACAACTACAACACAATATATTATCACAAATTATTACATTTTATTACAATCTTATGAAACTTGCTAAGAAGGAAGAATACTTTACTTCAAACAATAATTGAAAAATAAGTACCATCATTATTCAAAATTTAGTTGTAGTCATACAATGTTTTTTTAATATTTTTAGTGATTTTATTGTATAATAATACATATACAACTTAAATACTGATAGTAGTGTTCAATAGATACAAATAATTTGGTATTAATAGCATCTTAATTTGTAAATGTAAAATCAATGAATTTTTAATGGAACACTGAAGTTCTTTGTGTGAGATCATGAATAAAAAAAGGTGTATCCGCCTACATGATAAAGTCGGACAAGTATGGAATATTTTTGCCACATCATTACTACTGATATGTCATCATAGGGTGAACATCTTATGATACATAAAATACTATACTTTAATATTTATCTTATTCACATAATGTATATTTGTAGGTATCAGTAAAATGTATGATTATATTGTAAACAACAAACTCTATGTGAAACTTCATATACTATATAGGTAAATAACACTAGTACAGATTAAAGTACTGTCGACAAATCGCAGAGTCTGACCCGACACCATTTCGAGTACAATGTAAACATAATATTATTATAATTAAAAGGTGCTACATATTTATATATATCTTTATAAGCTTTGCAATATTACAGCCGTAATACAATTTCTCCTTAACCTTACCTTTTGACACCGGAGTTGACATAATCCTAGCCCTATTTGGCGTTGCAGCATTTAACAAAAACAACATATAATGGCAACAGATATTAAGTAAGCGAAATCAATAACAACAATTTACCTGATTTTCTTGGTCGAGCATCATACCATTCCTTGTTGTCGTGGTAATAGGTAGTAAATTTCTGAAATTGAAGAATATAATTTCCGCAGCGAGAAGCGATCAACTGCGAAATGCACACAATAATTGTTAATCACAAAACAAAATAACGGGGCTAACAACTAACATTAGTCACTAATCCACAATAACAATATCATATTATATTATTGTCGTCGTCGTGATGATAAAAAGTGCTAACTGTAGTGTTGTCGTAGTAGTAGGCAGTGGAGCAGACGATGAAAGTTGACTAAAGCAAACGTTATCAACGGACGTATCAGTAGAACCGTTAGGTAACATCGCGGTTCAAACCGTACGCACACTCGGTTACCGACTGACCGCAGAACAATGGCCTGGTCGTAATATCACAGAATATATTTAGAACAATATAGGTAGGTACAAAAATTCATGATAAAACAATATACTATTTAGTAATTATTATTACCATAGACCTTATACTAGTTTAATTAAATAGTTAAATAATTGCTAGATCATGCACAAATATACAATCAAGCAAATTAAATTAAATTTGATAACAATATCATTATAATATAATATTTATATTAAAAATATTAAATGTAAACAATTTTAGTTGTATTTCTATAATGACAAAACACCATTGTCCATTTTAATGTCGAAAAAAAACTTAAAAACATAAAAATATTAATTGATAGGTAGTCATATAATATGTTCTTCAAGTTAGAACGTACCCAAATCCCAATCCAATGTCTTTAATAAAAACCTACAACAGTTTGCAAAAGCGTTTAAGAAATAAAAGGGCGTTATACCTATATATGTTGTCTCCGTCTTACAAGTGCGTACTGCGTAACATACCAAATTTTAAGTTCAGAAGATCACGTTTAGCTAACAGTTTAAAAATTAGAGTGAACTGACCTCTCATTAAAATGAAAGGTAAGATTATTATAGATTATTATTTATTATTTTCATTGGCTTTTTATTATATTTTAATTTTTAAGAGAGTTATGAGTATTTAAAAATTGTAAATTGTTTGTACAACTTAAAATACTCATAATTCTCTTTAAAATTTAAATATAATAAAAGCCCATAAACAGCTCTGCGTAATAATATTACCTTAATTTTAATAAGAGGTCAATTCACTCTAATGTTTAAGCTAACCGAGCTAAACATGATCTGCTAGACGTTCAATTTGATATGTTACGCTCTGGTAAGATTGAGGCAATACATGTGGGTGTAATGTCCTCTTAACGTTTAAATTTCAGTGTTAACAACCGACAAAGTTTTATAACGCGGGTTATAACAATTATTATTTGATTTTAGAATCTGAGTGGAGTGATGAATGTATATTTTGTACAACAATTATTTTTTTTAAATATTTTTTCTTGTGTATAAAAAAAATAATCTGTTTTACAATGTTAAGGTGGTTTCTGGAGGCAAATAAAATTTATAGTTTGAGCTGTGTAGCCCAGTGGAGTCAAAAATAAAAAAGCTAAATCAAAAATACAAATATAATAGGTAATAGTTGTGAATACTCACGCAAACCCTGTTTTTGACAAAATCAATTTGTTTTCGTTATAATTCAAAAACAAGTAATCTTAGAGAGTTGAAATAGTTGAAATATTTATATAATCAATAATTTTCTAGACATGAAAACATTTTTCCGAACGCTGTTGTTGCGTTTTTATTTACCATTCAAAATTCTAATTTTTCCACTATTTAAAGTAACATTTTCTAATTATTGAAAAATATTGAAATGTCTACCAAAAACCATTCTTAAAGTAGAAGATTGAAGTAATTTCTGATCCAAAAAGTGTCATAACACAAAAAATGAATACATAGTGTAAACCAGTGGTTCCAAACTTTTACGACCACGGTACCATTAAAAAATAATTTGTGTTTCGCGAAACCCCAGTGTCTTTAATTCCAACTCAATTCAAGGTTAGGTAAAAATTAAATAAAAACCAATCCTCCAAAAAATGTTTAAACAATATTGTTAATAATTATTGTTCATTAAAATTATTTTTAAAAAACAATTTTCAATCAAAATAAACAATAATATACACTTACTTTTAATATTTTTAATAAAACTGTTTCATTATTTGATTTACAATAGTTTTTAAATTGGGTTTGGTACCTGAAAATTGAATTCGTATGTCTGGTGAGGCTTCCCATCTATTTTTGTATTTACTTTTAGTATATAAGCATAAGAGAAAAAACTTTATAAATAATATAAAATCATTTTTTTTCAAATATAATATGAAATCATTTTCTCAATAATCACATACATCGATACATCTGGTCCTGTTTGAGATTGTCCTACAGAATACACTTAGGGAACCTCTGGTGTAAGCCATATAATAAATTCCTATCTACACTCAGTATGACAGCAGTATCTATAACTATCTATATGGCAACCGAAATAATTGATCTGGGCGTAGCATTGAAATTATCATGACTTATTTAACTATAGATAATTACCAAACGTCAAAATGCAACTAGTACTGCATATTTTGAGTCATAAAAGGCATTGAGATATACAACGTAATAATATTAATGATAATAAACAATGTCAATCAGTGGATTTCTGAAAAAAAAACTTGAAAGCATGTTTTGTTATTTCATTTACATATCTAAATATCTTACGACTTACATAGTTACATACCAATTTTAAAAAACTAGTCTTTATAAGAGTCCGATAAAATATTTAAAATAAATACCTTATAATACGGGAAACCATTATTTATTTATTTATATTTTATTTAATTGGGTATGCCACAGGTCTTAATTAAGAGTTAAGATTCTTCAGTCTTCATAAACATGTCAATATTACAATTTATATAAATTGTAGAGAAATGAATCCTTATAGGCTTAAGAATTACAGTAATAGTTAATCGTTCAAATTATCATTATAGGATTAGGTAGATATACTTACATACGTTAATTTATTGTATCAAACCCCAAAAAAGGGTAGGACATTTAAATGAGGTGATAAAATAAGACTGAGATGTAAACTGTTGCACCCACTAAACTTGGTGCCCATGACCCAAATAACAATAACAACGTAGGCTTCCTATTATGTATTACATATAATATATTTTACTGTTGCCACTGATTATCGTGTAATACGTTTGAAATTTTTATATTTATACATCATGAACTTGAATAAATTATTGATAAAAGTGTAGTGGTTTTGTATTACTCGAACGTCGGCACCAGGTACTAAGATGATAACTACTATCTACCTAATGATATTTAAAAATCACGCGAAGAAACTATTTTGGTAAATATTGACTGTTGTCTGTAGTTTGTTGTTGTTGTAATATAGTACAGCTTATTGCTTATTATGTTATAAACGCAGCAGGTGAAGGTCATTACATTTAAGTAGACATGTATTCTATACATCTACATATTAAAACGATCTACCAATTATAACTATATGTATTATACTAAACATAATACATACATCAGCTCCTATTCTCCTCCACGATGACACAAATTCGTTATTGAAATAATACTTTTAAGAGTACTGGATATTACTACAAATATAATAATAATAATATTATTAATATATCCGTCTACAGCTGGAGTGTGGATGATGAATGAAAGTGGGAACGGAGGTCGATGCGTTTAAGCACTTGTGCTTATTATGACTAATCAAAAATAAAACCTTTATATTTTATGAAAAACACGCACACTGATAAAGCGTAGTCAAAACGAAACATTTTTGTCTTCAGACATGACTAATATTGTTTTATTGAAATAGAACATGCGCTATTTTCATTAGTCATTGTCAAGCAGTCACTGGATAATTATATCAAAATTATGCCAAATATTATTTATTTATGCTAAATTGTCTACAATATAAAGGTAATATTTATACATTATATATCATATATTATACATTATACACTATATCTACAAGTACTGAAATATGTAATTTTGCATTGAAAACATTTATTTTATTTTTAAGCAATAATTTGTGAAAAAAATATAAATATCTATAACATCTGTACAAATTAAATATTTTAAATATAATATATTAGTTCAAAATATGTTTAAGCAACTTGAAAAACTTATTTGAAGCATTATTTTACTTACTTTAATCTAGGATTTCCACATAAAGTTTTTCGAGCAGTGGAAATTCAAAAGATGATAAGTGTCACATCGAACTGCAGAATTCTTTAAAAAATAAAAAAAAATTATAGAAGAATGATAGAATTAAAATTTTAAAATAAAAATGAGAAGGGTGGCATGGTCGCCCGCAGGCAAATGAGTTTAAAGAATCAAAAAAAAAAAATATGAAAAAACTGAAAGAATCAATTTTAAGAATCAAAATCAAAATTTATGAAAAAATGTGAATTAAAAACAAATATTAAAGACTGCAGTCTACAATATCAGTATTCATAAATTCATAGCTTCATTTACAATAAATTCGATCATGAAACAATGAATATTTATAAGGCACTAACTATTTATCAAAATTCAAAAACATGTTTTTCAATAATTGATCTAGAGTTAAATTGTGGAAAAAAAAATTGAAGGGGAGCATGGGCGCCCACAGGCGAATGAGTTTTAAGAATCAAAGAAAACAAAAATATGAAAAAATATGATATAGAATCAATTTTAAAAATAAAAATGGGGAGGGGCATGGGCGCCCGCAGGCAAATGAGTTCTAAGAATCAAAAAAAAAAATGTATACAATTATGTGCATAAAAAACAAATATTAAAGACTGCAGTCTACAATATCAGTATTCCTAAACTCATAG